CTATGGGTCGGAACCGACTCGATGGCACTTAACAACAACAACAAAACAATAATACATATATTGGTGTAGCATTGTAGGATCAGCACTGAACTTCAAACCAAAAGGTTGTCAGTTCAAACCCACCAGCTGCTCCTCAGAAATCCTATACAGGGTTGATGTGAGTCGGAATCAACTCGATAGCATTTAACAATTATTTGTAGAAAGTAGCCCTGGTGGCATTGTGATTCAAACCTACAAACTGCTCTTTGGAAACCCTATGCAGGGTCAATATGAATCGGAAACGACTCAACAGCACTTAACAACAACAACAACAACATATGTGTAGAATATGGATAAGCACATAGCATAAGCACTGAACTGGTAACTGCAAGTTTGGCTGTTCAAACCCACCAGCTGCTCCTCAGAAACCCTCTCCAGGGTCGTTATGAGTCAGAACCGACTCAGTGGCACTTAACAACAATAACATATAGAAAACAGCATTTTCTAGTTTAACATTTTCACGTGTATAATTTAATGATCTCAATTACATTAATCACCAACAATTATTGTCTAAGTGCATGGCACACTAAGCATTAAACTGCTAACCAAAGGGTTGCCAGTTTGAACCCACAGCTATTCTGTTGGAAAAAGACCTGGGTCTAGGAGAGCCTGTGAGGCAGTTCTCCTCTGCCCTGCAGGGGTCGCTGCATGGTAGTCATGCAGTGAAACACACCCAACAAGAAGCAGAAGATTTTGATGCATGCAAAAACTGACATAAAGCTTAGTTTCTAAATGTTAAGAACACTCAATAAATAAATGATAAATATACATATATGCATATACAATGATAAATATACACATATATATTTATCATTTATATGTTGTATCTCATATGTATATATACATATATGGAGGCCTGGTGTGGTGCTGCGGGTTAACACACTGGACTGCACAGTCGCTTTGAACTACAAAAAGCTACAGTGGTTCAAGCTCACTAGTCGAGTCGCTCCTCAGAAACCCTATAAAGGGTCGCTATGAGTCAGAACCGACTCAATGGCTCTTAACAACATATACATATACACATATGTAAAGTCGCAATTGCTAGAGAGGCGCTGTTCTTGCAGAACCAACGAATCAGTGTATTGACATGTTACTTTTTATTTATTTTTTTTTACTTTTGATTGAATGAAGGTTTGCAGACAAGATCATCAGTTTTACATTCAACAAATCAGACACCTTGTTTCATTCAGCTCAGTGATTGCAGTGGCCTCTGTGGAATAACAGTCACTCCTGTTTCCTTCCACCCACTTTCCCATCCCTGCTGTCATTGTCCTTAGGTGCATGTTGCCCCTTTGATTTTGAATTAGTGACTGTTTCATCATTCGTAGTGAGCATTATCTTACTAGTGTTGTTCTCCCATATGCCTATCTACTACTTGGCTGAAAGAGAGGTTGTGTTCCTTTTTAGACCTGAAGGGTGGTCGAGGCCACAGTCTGTTTCCTCCAGTTTCTCACTAGTAAATCCGATCTTTTTCTTTTTTAAAAAAATAATTTTGAGTTTTGTTCCACACATTTTCTGCCGCTCTTTCCAGGACCTTCTACTATGATCCCATTCAGAGTAGTTGGTAGTTGGTAGCCGGGCACCATCTAGTTCTTCTGGTCTCAGAGTCATGGAGACTGATGGTCACATGGTCCATTAGTCCATTGCACAAGTTTGATTCCAGTCATCTTCAAGTCTCGTCACTTGAAGAGTTAGGTTTAAGGTGTTCTGGGCTTACCTGTGTGTAACTTTGTGTTTTAGGCTTCCTTTTTCTAAGAGGGAGGTGCCTGTGGCTAGTGGGTCGGGGTTCATCGTGTCTGAAGATGGACTGATTGTGACCAACGCCCACGTGGTGACCAACAAGCACCGGGTCAAAGTGGAACTGAAGAACGGTGCCACCTACGAAGCCAAAATCAAGGATGTGGATGAGAAGGCAGACATTGCACTGATTAAAATCGACCACCAGGTAAGCAGTCTGCCCGTTGCACTGTCCTGCCTGTTAGCACCACGTTCTCAGATACTCTGGCTAAAACTTGGCAAGAGCTGGAGCTGCTAAAAGAAAGACAAGAGCCTTCTGGCTTTTGATATTCTCAGGGGAGACACTGATGCTACTGTTAATCCATCTGTTGTCATTGTGAAGTGCCGTCAAGTCGATTCTGACTCATAGCAGCCCTCCGAAGAGCAGCAGGTGGGTTTGAACCACTGATCTTGTGGTTTGAAGTCCAGTACTGACCCTACAACTCCATCCAGGAGTCCTGGATTAAAGGAAAGCATTGAGAAGATACTTAGTGTAACCTGGGGGTGGGTCTGGGGTAGGAGCTCATGGAAATGTCTCTAGAAATCAGTCCCTGTGTGGGGAGAATGCTGAATGCATTTGACTGCTGACTGAAAGGCTAGAGGTTCAAGTGCAGCCAGAGGTGCTTTGGAAGACAGACCTGACAAACGACTTCTAAAGTCTCAGCCATGGAAAACCCTGCAGAAACAGAGTTCTACTCCGACGTCCACGGGGTTGCCGTAAGTTGGAGTCAGCAACTGGTTTGGTTTATAAAATTTTAAGCTCCTAGAGTTTTTAAGAGTATTTTAGATTTCTTATAAAAGAACGTAAGGAGCTCTGGTAGCGTAGTGGTTATGAAACGGGCTGCTAACCTCAAGGTCTGCAGTTCGAAACTGCCAGCTGTTCTGTGGGAGAAAGATGAGGCTTTCTGCGCCCGTGAAGATTTACAGCCTCGGAAACAGGGTACTATGAGTCGGAACCGACTCCACAGTAGGTACTTAACAACAACAACAACATAAAAGAAGGTAAAATGCTTGGAAAGAAATTTGTAGGTAAGTAGTAAAAATTGAGTCTCCTTCCCATTCCTCATCCCAAAGAAAATGTTTCCATATTTCTTGGGCTTCCTTGTGTGATATCATGATGCATTTGTAACTCATATATATAGAACATACTAAGTTTTAGATTGAGATGATATATATATATATATATATATATATATCCACATACAGAGAGAGATCTTTTAACATGTAAACATCTGCTTTGGAAACAAACCAAATCTCCCACGTTGCATGTTTCACAGGATTACTAGATGTGTTTTAAAACAATTAAAACCAAATCTATTGCTCTCAAGTTGACTCCAACTCATAGTGATCCTCTATAAAGTTTCCAGGACTGTAAACTTTTATAGGCGCAGACAACCTCATCTTTCTTCTACGGACGGCTGGCAGGTGTGAACCTTTTTGTTAGCACCCCAGCCTGGACTTTAAAAGTTTTTGAAACCTTATGTTGAAACGAAGCTGACTGCTCTTTTTTTTCTCCTCACATAGCTTCTCAGAGCCTTTAAAATGCTCATAGGCACACAAGCCACAGTGGAGGTGGTGTCTAATATGCAGCATTTCCCCAAATTATCTGAGTCTAGGACTTTTTTGTGGGGAGGCGGACAAATATCTGCATCATGGTGAACTGATACTGGGAAATGCATTTGCTTTCTGTTTAGGTAGTCTCTTTGCAATCGTGTATGTTCTGTTGATGTGTTTAGCAATGTCCTCCTATCAGAATTTGAACCCAGTTCTTTCTGGAGTATCAGAAACTCTCCGTTTTACCTCCTAGTTGGGGGAGGCTTAGTTGCAGTGCATCTTGCTCAGGTCCTTGTTTGAATTTTCCAGAGCTCCCATGAAGTGATGACTCAGCGTGGGTCAGAATCCTCAAGCCAACAAGAACAAGGTCACAGACTGAAGCCAGAAAAGGGTCTTCTTTTCTGACTCTGTGCCGCTGTCAACTTTACCTGGATTTTGGCTGCGAGTCACACTAGTGTGATTGTTGTACAAACTGTTTTCATCTGGGATGCTTAACTCTGGTTTCTTGGAGACACTTCTTACTAGAAATGGTTCTGTGTGTACTTGGGCTGTGGTTGGCTGGTGGCGGTGGTTGTGTGGAGTCATAGCGACCCTGTATAGGGTTTCAGAGACTGTAAAGCTTTATGAGAGCAGAAAATCTCATCTTTCTCTTGTGGACTGACTAGTGGATTTGAATTGCTGACCTTGAGGTTAGTAACTCAGCCTTTTCCCCCCACAGTGCTTTTCAGAAAACCAGCCAACTCGATACCCACTGCAATTGCGGCAGAAAAGGCTTCTGTCCTGGCATGGGCCTTTAGCTAGGTCTTGGTTGTGTGTTATTTCTGTTAGACTAGTGTGGAATTTCTAGCAACTGCCGATCCTTCAAGATGTGTTTACTAGCCTTGATGTGGTCATAATAACTTCTACTTGATGAGACCACTTGCGTCCTCATCTCCAGTCATCATGTGCAAGATGGCTGTGTTGTCCCCGTTTAGAAACCCTCTGGACAACAGTTCTATTCTGTCACATAGGGTCACTGTAAGTTGGAAGCCACTCAGCGGTCCACAACAACAACATAGAGGAAGAAACTAGCTCATAGAGTTTAAGAAACCTGCCCGAGGTCCCGCAGCAGAATGTGGTGGTGCAGGATAGAACCAGGCCTTGTCCAAGATCCAGGACAAGTAAAGCATGGATAGTTTTCCCCTTTATGTTGGGCCTAGTCTTGGTTAAAAAAGACCCCCGGTAACTTAAAGCTTGTTGCTCCAAAGTTGATTCTGGCTCATGGCGACTGCTCCATAGGGTTTTCTTGGCTGTGCTCTATAGGATAAGCACTGGGCTGTGAACCACAAGGTCGGAGGTGTCTGACCCTACTTGCCACTCTGTGGGTGAAAGATGAGGTGTTCTGCTCCCGCAAAGATGAACAGCCTTGGGAGTCAGGAATGCACTGCAGGCACGCTTTACTCTTGTCTTCTGCCTCCCAGCCACGTGGTCCCTCAGCCTCTGCCCTGCTCCAGTGTGTGTTACAAAGCTCTTTAAGCCAGTCTGTGAATGCCCAGAGGGCGCATTCTGCAAACCAGCCACCTGCCCGTAGGCACTCAGCTTTGCTCAGTCCACAGGCTTAGAGCTGGAAGCTGTTCTGTCTCTCCATGCCACCGGCTCTGCTGTTGCCTCTGCCATCGCCTCTGAACGTCTCATGCATGTCCTTCTTGATGGTCTTGGGATCTTCCATCTCTGCTTCTGAGATGGCGCTTTTTAAGCCTAGTTGGAGGGCAAAAGGAACAAATCCCAGCCTTAGAGTCCGGTACACCTTATTTGCATGGTCCCACGAAATCACTTGGTGGGAATTAACAAGACTTTGGATAGGAAAGCCAGATCAAGTAAATTCAAGGCACCACACTTACATACAATACTGCTCTTAAGTGTATATCGGCATTGCTTTTCCAATCCATGCTTGCCTAAGTAACCACTACCTATTTCAGATTGTAGAACAGAGGCAAGAGGTTCTCGCCGAAGGTAACCAAAGGTAATGCTCTCCTCTGTCACCATAAACTAGTGTGTCCTGGTCTAGAATTTCTATTTACTTGGAATCTTACAGTGGGGACCCTTCTGTGTCCAGCTTGTTTTGCTTAGCAAAATGTGAGGTTTATTCATGTTTCCAGAGCATCAGTAATCTGTTTTGTTTTTACTGCTGAATAGTGAAAACTGGGTGGATACACTACAGCTTTTAAAAATCTACCTGTTAATGCATTCTAGGGTTCTTTTCAGCGCTCGGCTCGCAAGAATCAAGCATCTGTGGACATTCTTGTTCTCTTGGGTCCGTCCTTGGCAGTGGAATTGTTGGTCTCCCTGATGTTTTCGTCTGATGTTCCCATGGGTGGTGAGAGTGTGGTGAGACTGGCTTTGCTCGGTCCTTTTTGTCTTACTGTCTGTCTAGCCAGCTCTGACTCATAACCCAATGAGGTGTTGCGCAGTTCTGTATCATCTTCATGATCGCTGATGTGTTTGGGTTTATCTTTCAGCACCTTTTCGGACAATAATCCTCAGGTGTCTTCCATAACGTTCCCATTGGCTCCTGTTCAGAAGTGGGTGCTCAGGCCTTACTTCCTAGTCTGTCTTAGTGTGGAAGTTCTACTGAAACCTGCCCACCTTGGCTGACCCTGCTGGCAGTGGAAATAATGATGCCATAGCTTCCAGCATCACAGCAACACACATGCCACCACAGTGGGACAAGCTGATAGATAACCAAGGTGGCCTTTGTGTCTTAGTTGGATCAAATCAAGACTGAGTTCCATCAGACTGAGCCAGCATAGTGTCCAGCCTCCAGGGAGAGTTAGTTAATATAGGCATTGGCACCGTGGTCAGATGTTGGCACGGGGGTCGGGCTTTGGACCTAAGGTCAGACGTTTGTATTTTACTGCTCATCTGTGATGTGCATGGGAGACCCTAATGAGCCACCCCTCATAACTCAGCCTTCTAAGCCAGCCACTGTCTCCCTAAGGCCCATGGGCATCACTGTAAGGATGAAGTTGGTGCAGTGGGACATCTTAACTTTAAATAGCCTGCAGGAAGGTGGTGTGTTCCTGTTTAGAACATGCTGCCAGAGAAGGTATCCAGGATGTGGTAGTCTCACCGGATGGAGGCTGGCCAGAATAGCACATCCTGTGGCCACATGGGAGGCATTTGGCTCCATGGAGCCCTGGGAGGGGCATTGTGGACACCACACAGACCTGGCGATGCCTGGGCACAGAGAGCAGCCCCTACCGTATCATGTTGCATCTGACATGCGTGGGCACAATTGTGTTACTGTCTCTGCCCAGGGGGGTGGTGGTGGTGGTGGCGTGTTTTCCGATTCTGGCCAAGGCTGAGCTTGTCCCAGGGTCATCGCTGGCAGGATGTGGAGGAATTCTGTGACAAGCTTTGCAGTGGGTTCTGCAATTCTCCTCACTGTCTGGCAGCAGCACACTGTTTGACACATGTTTCCAGCCCCAACTAGAAAGGCTGCAAATTTCAAGTTGAAATAATGCAGCTTATAAAAATGGAATCGGAACTGAAAGGCTATTAAATTGCAGGCACCTATATAAAGGACTGGTTTCCTCTGACTAAAGTATTTTTTTTCTTTTTTACCCCTGCAGATAG